AAATTTCTTAAGGCTTCATATTCTTGTTTGTTGAGATTAGATGGTATGTAGTACTAAAACGAGATCTACACAATTCATTCCTGGAGAAAATAAACTGTGTATGTCCCAGAATCCAATTCACTTCGGAAGCAGAATCAGACATCGGTGAACTACCATTTCTAGACTGCCTAGTTAAGAGAAAGGAAAACGGACATTTTAGTATATCCATATTCAGGAAGAAAACCCACTCAAATAAATATTTAGACTTCAAGTCATCACACCCCATCAGCGCAAAGATTTCAGTTGTTTCAAGTCTTCTTAGACGAGCACACTCTCTGATAACCGACGAGAAAGAAAAAGAAGAAGAAATATCAAACATTACTGAAACTCTCAAGCAAAACAACTACCCATGGAACTTCATCAACAAAATCAACACAGACATCAAGTATGGCCGAAAACGCATCCCGAAAACATGGACATCAACAGTCGTCATTCCATATAGAGAAGAGACGTCAGACGATATCAGAAGAGTACTCAATCAGCTCGATATTAGAGTTTTCTTCAAAACATCAGACACACTTCAAAGCAACCTTGTCCATATAAAAGACCAAATCCCTAAAGATTCGCTATCTAATTGTGTCTATAAGATCAAATGCTTAGAATGTGATGCGATATACATCGGACAAACTTCTCGAGAAATCAAAATCAGAAGAAATGAACACCGTAGAGCATCTCTTCGACCACCGAAGAATCCTGTTGAACTACAAAGACTTGAAAAATCATCAGCCATAGGTCTACATGCTATAGAATCAGGCCACAAAATTGATTTTGACAATGTTGAAATAATCCAGAAAAACTTCAGAAATCACAAAGAACGTTTAATATCAGAAGCACTTCATATCAAGTGGAATCAAAATTGCCTGAATAGGAATGATGGACTAAAACAGAATCTGACCTGGTTACAACACCTCCCTCCCCCCCATCAAGTGACAAAACCAACACGAATGTGATAAGCACTTTCATTATGTAAACACACGCTGCTTTTATAATCTCATACACTTATCAAATCCAACAATCTACACATGATGATTTTGTTATCTTTACCAATTCACCAACTTAACAACTAAAAATGCCCCAGACAGACGAACGATGATCAAGTTAGTAAACTTTTCTTTCTTTTTTCGATATCATAACAGACATACTATTACCTTTGTTATTTGGTATAGTTATCTTCATCGCTATTTTTACTTTCAATATGTCCCTTTAACTTGACCTATGTCTATTTTCTCACCCCCTAACTGTTTGTTATATATATGCTGAGATTTTGTAAATTCCGGTTTAATAATACTTTGATAAAGCTATTAGCATTAAATAGCGAAACGTCAGTAAAAACAATATCGTTTTGTTTTTCATTCATTGGGAAATACAAAAACCTTTATTATAATGAATTTCCACTAGTTCCTGTCCATTTCACACGAGATTATTGATTATTCACTATCTCACACTTATTACGTCATGCCAACTTCTGTCTCCTTTCTAACTTACAATTAGTCATCCCTTCTTACACCTTACATTATGTAATACAATTTTCCAAGGACAAAATTTACCATTATCTGATTGGTCTAAAGATTTCTTTGTTAATTATAATTACGATTGTACAGCTCATGAAAATGAATCGTCGGAAAGAAAATTTTCTTCGCTGTTTGTGCCTTTTTTTAATGACTCAATATGGGAATATTTCGTTCATATATATATATATATTTATATATTTATATATATATATATGTTGAGAAAAATAGATTTCAATCTCGTCTAGATTTTAATCGGTCCTTTGTTATCGATACTATGCTACGCTATGCTTGTCAGCCATCCATCCATTCACAGGAGGTTGATCTCCAGTCGACGGAGTTCTAGACCTAACTCGCCTCCTAGTGTATACTAGTCGCTGGTAAAGGTGGGAGGTTGGCCGTGACAGCAACAGCCTTTCCCCCCACCACCACCACTGTGGAAAATCCTGAGTCTGAAGCTTGAAGCTCTATGTGTTCGCCTCGTTAGACAAGAAATGAAAGAAATAATTTTCGTTGATGGACAACAAGAATTAAGAAGTGGCAGATGATATCCGGCATGTCGTTGCTAAACTACACAACACATGTGAATGGCAGCTCAGGTTGCAAAGTGGCTGCTCCCCATCGGGACTTTACTATTAGTGGTGGTAGTCTGGCGACTAAATCACTATCCAAGATTGTCCTTATAAGTGACAGAAAGTACTCATTGAGTTATGAAGTAAGAATAAAATAAAATTTCCATTATCGAAGAAGTCATCTCCAAAGGCTTTACTAAGATGTATAACTACCATTCGTTGTTGAGTAATGAGGACATGTGTTTGTGTATCTGTCTGTGTGTGTGTGTGTGTGCGATTGGAGTTGATTTTGATCGAGTCACTCAGATGTGGTTTCTAGAGATTGAGGCGGACTACCTAATTTCCTTCGCTTGAGATTATTTATGACCTAGGATTGGAACATGATAATCACCTCGAGCTTTTTTTTTCTTCAAATAACGTCTCGTGTTAGTCAGTCATCTATTGTTAACATCATCACTCCTTCCAGTGGATCAGCTGTATTTGTGGGGTAGATATATGGCCTATTCTCACTGAAGCACACTTGACTTTCAATCTCTTTGTTTCAAACCTGATCGACTGGTGGTTAACTGCTTCGTCCCAGTTTGCAATTCTTCAACAATACGCATCCAATGCGTAAAAGGCTCAAAAGACCCACTCCTCTGTGTGGCTAGAAGTGCTTTTTGTCGTCGAAGAGTCCTTCCTCAACGTTGGACAAAACAAACTATCCAGTAGTACTCTCTGGTTTTCAGTGTTACTTCGTAATATACCTTGAAAAGCTTTTTTCCCGTATTCATTATTTGTAATTATGTGAGTGTGAATGATTCATTCCCCTTGATAGCAGATATCAATAGCCCATATGCTATGATGTGGAGTGTTACTTACTGATTTGTGGGTTCGTCTAACTCGACTAGAATACACCTCCAGAACACCACAACACCATGTAACCAATTGATTGATTGTCTTGAAATTATCTCCCCCGTACTCAGGTAAACACAAAAGTCGAACTGAGTAAAACGGCGTCTATGAAAAGATAACAACTGCCTTTATTAGGTAAAAAGGCATGGCATAGTATATATACAAAACCTCAGGAATTTAAGCTATAAATATATGAATTCTATTGGTTGTTTGTCATCACAATCCCTCAGAAAATTAAGCCACAATTGAACGAATCAAAACTATGCAATCAGGTTATCACATGACACCTGCGTACATAAATCGGAACTTCATGACTAGTATAGACGTTTTTTCCGTTCTAACTACCACCTCCCTCTTTCTGTTAGTTCTCGATTGTGACACCCTCCCCCTTGATGTTACTTTGTGAGTATGTGTATGTGTGTGTGTGTGTACCTTCTGTCTATGCTACCATTCTGAAATAAATTAAATCTCATTAAATTGATATTATATATACACATATACGTGACTCTCAAGTCTTTCTGGTTTTTCCATTTTGATATTTGTCTTCCTACTACTTCACCATCTAGAGCTAAGTGGTAAGATGATCAGCTTAAATACTATTCTGTTTGCTGTTCTGATCAGTGTTGTTATTATCATTGCTGTGATTTGGTGAGATTTTAATAAAAAATAATTCATGGAATGTGGGTGGGTGCGTGTGTGTGTGTGTGTACATCTTAGTTAGAAAAGGAGTGTAAAACTATATATTCATGGGATTAATAGCAGGCGAATAACTAGGTGAAAGATAAAGTGTGTGTTTGTGTGTGTGTGTGTGTGTTTATATTCATTCCCTATTTCTACCTTGGCCTTATTTATTTATTTATTCATTTGGATCGCTAGTATTTCAGCTACTACTACGTGTAAACGTCTTGATCTCATCCCTCATTTGAAGAAGTTTGATGTTCTCCATACAATAATACACCAGTTGATTTTGCTCCTCTTGTGGAGTTGAGTGTGAGTACATTGGCTGTACCAGGTGTCCGTTTGTGAAAAAAACAAGTTAGGGAAACACTATCTATCATCCCGCCTGGCTAGCCAGCCAAATGGAAGAATATGTAGGTGCGTGTTGACACTTATTGGCGTTTATCTACTTTATTTATCGGCGAAGTTAAAATAGCATAGCTCTAAAGTGAAGGTCTTTTTTAAAAGTTGACCACCTTCAACAGTCAATCAGATGCCAGTGATTGTTAAGAAAGGTTATTCCAAATTGAAGCATGCCTGGCTTTTTGAACTAGGTAGTTTCTCTGCAAATGTATACTGTTAGTTAGTGTTATGGCTTTTAAGAGCAAGGTTTAGGCTGTAGAGTTAAGGTTAGAATCAGGGTCAAAGTTCAGATCAGGAGTTAGGATTATGGTCAGAGTCAGGAGTAGTAGGTTAAAGAACAGTGTCACAAATATCAATGGATCTCAAGGTATCATGGCCTTACATTCAACCTGGGTGAATGCATCTATCGGGTATGGTATGATTTCGCTACAGATCGTCTGTGTAGAAACTGAAAGACATTCTTACAATACATAAACGACAACTATATGGTGTAATGTCACGTTTGCGGTGCTTTTTTTACTACTTTTTTGTATCTGAATTCTGATCGATTGGCTGATCAAAGTCACTGGGATATTTATTGGCTATGATATTTTAACTTTGCTTATTTATCGTTTTGTTTCTTTGATTTGTTTACACACTCCACCCCTTATTATTTTTCGATAGCTATATTTTACTACTCAGAACATTTTGAACCATTTCTCTGATATAAAACTATAAACTACTGATTGGTGATTGAGACGAGTGTTAGTGATAGTAGTGTAACAACAGAAGACAAGGGCCAGGCAACAGATCGTTTATTTAGGAAATCAACAGATATTTATAGATTTTCATGTACATTATTGTAGATTATTGTAAGTAAACAAACACAGTTCCTGATTGCAGTAGATTGGATAATGCGACAGACAGCGGGCAATGAGGAAACAGGCATAAAATGGACTCACACAAAGAACTTGGAGGATCTGGACTTCGCCGATGATATATGTCTGATTTCCCACAAACTGGAAGATATGCAAGTGAAAAGTAACAAGTTGGCAGAAGAAGCATCAAAGATAGGACTCCAGGTGAACATAGAGAAAACGGAGGTGATGAAGATTCCTGGCCAACACCCACAGCCACAGCAACAACAACAGACAGCAATCAGCATAAATGGAAGGAACCTGAAAGAAACTACCTCCTTTACCTACTTGGGAAGCATTGTTTTAACTACAGGCGGAACTGACGAGGATATCAAAGCAAGGATCGGGAAAGCAAGGCAAGCTTTCATTACTCTCAAGTCTGTGTGGAGGTCAACAGCATTCAGCGTCAAAAATAAGATCCGGATTTTCAACTCCAATGTGAAGTCAGTACTACTATACGGATCAGAGACTTGGCGTGTCACAAAAAGCATCTCAAACAAGCTACAGACCTTCATTAACAGATGTCTTCGCTCAATACTCAAGATCAGATGGCCGGAAAGGATCAGCAACAAAGATCTCTGGGAGCGAACTAACCAGGAACCGATTGTGAAACAAATAGGCAGGAAGAAATGGAGATGGATTGGCCCCACTCTGAGGAAACCAGCAAGTGACATCACTAGACAAGCCATTGTTCGAGTAGAACCCGAAAGGCAAGCGACGAGTTGGTCGTCCAAGGGTGACCTGGAGGAGATCATGTGAAGAAGAATTGAAAGCGTATGGGCAGACTTGGAGCCAAGTGAAAACTCTAGCAGAGAACCGAACGCAATGGAGACGCATTGCTGAAGCCCTATGTTCCTCTAGGAACTAAAGTAAATAACAATAATAAACAAACACAGTCTTCTGATTGGTGGTTTCTCGCTGAACGTTAATCCTTCATCTCTTTGTGGCCGTTTATTGAAGTTCAGATTATCTATCTGCAAATTGTAGGCATCGGTGGCATAGTGGTTAGGACGCTCGCCGACCATGCACATGGTCCGGGGTCCGATCCCCGGCCGACGCACTCCTTTACCTCGCTAAGCCAGAAACGATGCTGGTAAAGAGTAAAGGTTGGGCATGAGGCTAGCAACCCCATTCTGTAAAATGAACACTGCTACAGAAACTTCAGGCCGCTAGCTTGAAGCCCTATGTTCCACTGGGGAACGTGAAGGAAAACAACATCTGCAAATTTTATGCGCCTACGCCAAGTCTGCTGTGATTGGTTGTTGAATCAGTCTTTGTTCTTATTTTTTTCATGACCAGTATTGGGGACGTACACATTGACGTAAATTACTGTCTACCAATTTGGCTAGCAGCCAACTCTCACCACTACTCATATCAACCAAGCAGTACTCACTAGCCAGCCCAGGCGAATCGTTGTGATCTAAATACTTGACTGCTGTTTCGCTCATTTTTGACCGCACTCGTCAGCGGTGTACCTACCCTACCCCGTTTGACTCAATGGTATGCAGGTACTCATCTCAATCAATCTCTAGTTTGCTCGCTTTCCCCTATGATTACCATTCATGCATAGTATCAGACAGACCCCACACATATTATGATCGGAATAACCCTGGTTTCCGCTTGAAATGTATGTAAATTGCTAATTTCGAATTTTCAAAAGAATGGATACTGAACAAAGAGCTGAATATCAGAAAAACTAGGAATTTATAGTTTCCACTGAAGGCCGCCTCGCTGAGCTGAGCTGAATCGTGCGCTGCCCGAAAACCAGCGTAACGCGACCGTCTGTCTGTTGTTTCGATTTGACCGGTTGGCTGACTGACTAGCAAGCACTACTTGTTGATTTGGGGTCCAACTACTCATATCAGTCTATCAGTAGTATATAACATCGTGTATATTTTGTTTTACTGTAAACTAAGCTTTGTAGTCATTGGCAAGTGGAAAGTTTCAAAAGTGAGGGGAGGGGTTGCTGCACGATGAACCGTCTTTAATTAGCCACGAAGTCTGGTTTCGGTATACACTCGACCTCTTGCTTTTCCATTTTATTTGTTTAGCTATCAATATATATATTCTGTACTTGCTCTAACTTTGCGTCTGTGTGTGTTTCCTTTCCATTCTATTCAACACTAGATGTTACGTGTGTCAAAGACGATTTACTGCTCGTTCTTCGTGTCTGCGTCATATGACCAATTTGCATGGAGCTGTAACATCAGAGCTGAAGTGGAATCTTTTGACTGAAACAAATTATGGTAAGCAAGTGAAAATTCTTATTCTTCTTGTGTTTCTTTCATTAATGTGTATTTTGTAAGCTGAAAGACTGTTGACAACTGTGTGACGAGTCCTTTTTGAGATAGATGCTTGAACTGAACTTTCTTCCTTCCTTCCTTCCCCTCCCCGCGCCCCTGCCTGTTCAGGGTTAGCAACACGTTATGTGTGATAACATGCACTTCTATCTACTGTGCGATAGACGATGTAGTTGATGATGATAGTGGCGTAGCTAGCCTCTTTGACTGACCGACTTAGTCCTTAGCTTATGTATCACTTTTGAAAGATGCTTTTATTGATATAGACTCTACTGATGACAACGTTTCAACGTACAGATTTGCACTGAAGTGTTGTAGGAGTCAAAATAGTCAAACTCCATTCAGTCCACAAAGCTACAGAAAAGAGAATGCAAAAAAAAAGCATTTAGAAGCACCATAATAAGTGGAAAATTTAGGGGAGAAAGAATAGTAACATGGAACAACATAAGGGTTTGGTTTTTATATAGATATGAGAGACCAGATAGAGTGGATTGATGAATTCATCTGTGCCACTGAGAACAATTTTAAGTCCCGTCAGCAATAGTCTCCAGTCAATGATGATCATGTTTCACTACAATAAAGGAGGATGGAGGGAACTGTGGTGGTGCCAACCGGATATCCCATTTACGCGATAGATGACTCTTAATTCAGTTAATACCCCCCCCACACACACACACACACGCTCAAGGCTTTTGTATCTGTGTTGAGGTCAAACCATTGGAGGTGATATAACTTCTCAAATAAAAGTGAAGCATGAATGCGACGAATAAAAGGTGCTCAAGAACTGAGTCATTGGTGGTGTCTGTCTAATTTCTCCTTTCGACAGTTAAATTTAAAGATGTTGTTATACATGTCTAGACCATATCACACTGACTAAGTTTTTAATGTACACCTGGCTATATGAGCTTGATGAGAGAAAAGGCTGATAATACTATTATAACTACTACTAATACTACCCATTGGTGTCCAATCTGTAAAGTAGGTCGGCGGGGATTTGAATCTTGTGATCCTCCCGCCTGACTGACTGACTGACTGAAAGCAACGCTGAGAACGGACGTGGTCAATGAGCCACCCCTCTACTTTATTTGCTGCAATACTATTGCAATATAGAATTGACTAGTTTACCTGGACTGAATATCTTGTCTAGAAAGACAGTGAAAGCTTTGCAATTAAATCAATCCAATTTGAGAGAACTCGACTCAACACTACACCAAATTATACCATCCCAGGTTTTCCAATGGTTCTCTAACTAATGTCAGCTCATGATGAAATCCTGTAACCAATCAACCAAATCCCTACAAACCAATACTTGAATATCAATAAGATGCTCACTGGGGTTCTAATTTCGAAGTCGTGACCAGTAGGGTGCAGCACGTCGGGTGTGTGAGGACAAATACTCGCCGAAGACATTGGGGCTAGTGATCGCGCTATGCCGTGAATTGGTAGAAGTTAGAATTCATGGGCTGGCTGGCCATTGGATCGGGCTGATCCCAGTGGCTTAATGGTCTACGAGCTAGCTCGCTAGCCTTGTGACCAGAAGGTCCTGGGTTCGAACCCCGTGGTGTGGGTGCTTACTGATGAAGAGTCCCAAACTAGGCTGATGAAACAGCTGTCCAGTACTCCCAGGTGGTTTTCCAATGGTTCTCTAACTAATGTCAGCTCATGATGAAATCCTGTAACCAATCAAACAAATCCCTACAAATCAATACTTGAACATCCTACTTCTATGGATTCATCAGTTGGTTTTGTGCTTAACTCAACTGTTGAGTGTGTGTTGCGGGGGTGGCGCATGAAACCAAACACTATTCGTTTGAAAAGGAAAAAAACAACAACAACAAAACTAGGCTACTGAGTCATTAGTCATCAGAAGTTGTTGTAAGAGCCGATCTGTCGATAAAAATGTACATCACCTTTGCGTGTAATTCATTTTTGAAGGTAAAAATGAGGGCGGTGTGTGTGTGTTGGGGGGGGGGGTAATTGTAGTGAAATAAATACCCAGTAATCTGTTTGCTTAGTTAACAGTAATAGCGTGAAATGAAAGTGTTCAAAAATTGTTTTGAATTTATTGTGTGCTGAACTAACTTGCATCATGATTTGGCACTTAATGTTGTGTTTCCTAAGAAATGAACTCACAACACATATTCGTAAAAGTTATGATTAAATTATTTTTTAGTGATATTGTTGGCGGGCAATTCAAAATCTCTGCACTATACGTAAATGGCTTCACTGTCTGGTTGTAGGATTTCGATTCAATCATTAACTCCTCACAGATAGTCATTTGACTTTTAAGACTGTATGTAGACTTCATGGCATTAATGCCAGTTTCAGCTCTATGCGAATTTGTGAGCTTAATTCAATCCAACGACGACGCCGCATAATCCACCATATATCAAATAAATAAGTGAATCACACAGAAGAGACTTTAAGCTCAGTGTGTTGCCAAATCAGATTTCCGCAACAGTAGGATGGTGACGTGGGTTTGAAGCTGGATATTCGTCTGCGTGTAGAAGGAGGAAGAGGAGGAGTGGGGCATCGACTCCTTCAAGATCTCGACAAAACAAAAAGAAGGCGTGATTTATCTGAAACTTGTAATGTATTTGGGCAACACATCTCAGAGATTCTAATCACATGCACACATACGAGTACTTGTCATACAAATATATTGTATGCAACAGAGCATAAATGGTTATAATATGTGTCAAATTGTGTACGAGTCAAGGTCACACGTGAGAGGTAGGAAGATGATGACGTAAGCAAAGGTAGAGGGTGAAAATAGTGTTAAGTAAATTGAACCTTGGTTCTAAATTGGATTACCAAGGCAGGTTCAGAGTGATAAGGAGTAATTTTCGGACACATAAAACAGGTTTAAGCCTTTTTATGACGAAGTATTCATCGAATTTCAGTATGTGACCCAAATTTGTTTTAAATAAGGCTTTTGAAGGCATTATTGAAGTGAACCTAGGGACCCGTCTCTATGATGATGATGATGTGCTTTGCGATAGATGATGTTGGACATCTATTTCCAGGATCAATTGTATCCGGTGATTTTATTTGTTGTCGCAACCACTTTGGAAAATGTTCTGTAGCGCTAACCTGCAGAGACCGATGCGTCCTCCCTATACACACATGTGACCACACATACATGTAAATTGGTAAACACAATGGAATGTGACACTACCGGTTGGATGATGCGTGATGTTTTACAGGACAGCATAAATCTCGGTTTGTCCAAGAAAATAAGTTAAGAGCTGCTGCATAGCAAGTTCTATTAATAACCTCTCTTTTTAAGGAGCTGACTGGATAGCTGAGGCCGTCAGTTTGACACTTCTGTAGCGTTCAATGAATTTCAGGGAAATAGCTGTTATCCAACAGGATTTTATTTCAGTGTGAAGTGTTGTGTTTCTTCTTCAATGGTGTGTTCTCTGTGTGTACACATATGCTGAATGTGCCTGAACATGCATTCAACTACTTACTGCCTTCTAATTCAGTCAGTGAACAGAAACCATGCTCATTTAGGTGTACTGTGTCTCGCTTCCATGTAGACTTTCTGTAGACCATATCGTCTTATTGATCCATCTTATCGACTAGCTGATGAGTAGTACATCTCAGAATGGTAAAAGGAATCTGCATTCTTTTTCACCAATGGGCAGTACCACCATTCAAGATCTTCAGTCATATACATCTTTCTGACGCCGACGACGACAACAACAATGAGTGCTAATAAAGACGACACCTACGTGTTTGTTTATGGGAGAAGGCTTCCATCCGATTGACATTAATTCCCCCCCCCCCTCCCCAGTAGTATTTTATTCTACGGTGTTATACCTATTTCACAATTGAAGTTGTCATGATAATCTCAGGATGGAAGAATTCCATACTCATTCAAGCGAGCTGTGTATGTGTGTGTCTCTCTCTCTCTATGTTTGTGTGTGTGTTTCTGACACTTTCCTCTGTATGCTTCACATCCCTTTTTTGCCTAATAGTTTATGCGACACACACACACTGATCTGTTATTACTACTCCAAGTGTGTAAATCACATAAGTCACTTTGACTGAATTAATTAATTATTAAGCCACAAGAAAATAAGTAAATAAATAAAAACCAAATTAATTATTTGAAAATGAATCTGATGCTCGCTAGTTGCCTGGAATTCAAGCGAGAAGTCGTGTTACCAATGGGGCCTACCACCACCCGGTTGTCGGAGGTGAGGACAAATACTCCTCACCAGCATTGACACATTAGCTGGTGCCTAGTCAGTCAGTCAGTTCCACTAAAATCACGAATTGGTAGAAATTAGTATTCATGGGTGGTGGTTGGCCACTGAGTATTGAGTCTACAAGCTCGCCTTGGAACCGGAAGATGTCCTGGGCTCTAACCCTGGCAGTGGGGGTGGGGTGCATACTGACGAAACAGCTGTCCAGTACCAGTACTCCTCGGCATTCGATTCTGTCGACCGAGAGGTACTCTGGCGATGCTTGGCTGTAATGGGAATGCCGAGGAAATACATTGCGCTACTTACTCTACTCGAACTCATGCAGCCAGGAGAGGGCTTACGGCGAGTTATCATCTGAAGTGGTGACGACTAGTGGTGTCCGTCAGGGATGCCCGTTATCCCCATTTCTATTCAATTTTGTCATAGATATACTAATGGATTTAACCCTGACTCACTTCAGAGACTCAGGGATTGACTTGTTACCAGGGAATATTCTCGTTGACTTAAAATATACAGATGATATAGTCCTTCTAGGCGAGGACACTGACAAAATATAGAGTCTTCTGAACACCTTGATCTGAGCAGCAACCTACAAATGTTTGGCATGCGATTCACTCCGGCCAAATGTAGTATGATGTTACAGGACTGGACTACACTGACTCCTAGTTTAGAAATAGGGAGTGAAGTGGTTGATGGAGCGTGTTGACCGCTTCACTTATTTGGGAAATACCATCAGTCTCTGACGAAATCTCAGTACGGATACAGAGGGCTAGTTTCGCATATGCCAGTTTACGCCGTCTCTGGCGTAGACGTGATATCCTGGTGGCTGTCGACCAAAGGGCGTGTGTACTGCTCATCAGTCCGCTCCGTCCTCCCTTATGGCTGTGAGTGAGACCTGGCCATTGAGAGTGGAAGACATGAAAAGATCAGCTGTGTTCGATCATAGGTGTCTGCGTTCTATCTCCCGTGTGAAGTGGTATAATAAGGTGAGCAATACTGAGGTTAGGCGTCCAGTTCTAGGTAGGTGGGAGGGGAAATCAATCTACGAGGCTGTGAAGTTACACCGATTGAGATGGTTAGGACATGTGTTACGTATGTCTAGTCATCACCTTCCTCGGCGGGCAATGTTAGCTGACATAGGGTCAGACTGGGAAAGAGCTAGCGGCGGTCAAACCAAAACCTGGCTTCATCAGTCAATGAAATCCACAACAGTTAGTTTAAGCGACGTAGGAAGGTATAGACTGCCAGTCTGGTTGGGGTCCTCGAGACGGTAAAAACCAGCGGTTGGAAACAATTGGTGGTATGGCTTAAAATCGTTCTCCATGAGTAGTGCAGATGCATCCACTCCTTGTGACTTATAATTTCCAATGAAACTATGTCGTTCTTCGTTATTACTATTGCTTTGTGTGCTACACGGAGAGAGTGTGGCGACTCGAACTGCCGCACATCGGTGCAAAGTAGTTCTACGTCGAAAACAAACAGACAGACACCAGTACACTCCTGATTGGTTTCCAATGGTTCTGCTAGCGATATCAGTCGGTGGTCGTCGATCTTGAGAGCATGAATGTGATGGAGGAGTATCACTATTGATGTTGATTCTAAATTTTATGTTGTTGCACTCGGAATGCTTCTATAATTTAATTAATCAATTAATTAATTTTTGTTTGTTTGTTAATTTTTCAACACAGTCGCATCTACTCCAGCTGGACCTAAAAACAATAACCCTAATTTGTTGTCGTTGTTGAATAATAATAATAATAATAATAATACCCCAGCTACTGGATCCGGCTCAACAGCACCACCAGCGACGACGTCATCGTCATCATCGTTGTCTAAATCAGGTGAATCTGTTCGTGAAGAGAATGACAGCAGCAGCAGTAGCGATGGTGTTGTCAGAAAGATATTCTTTTGTGCACTTTGTAATAAGTGTTATAGGTCACGACATAGTTTATTAAGACATAAAACTTTACATCATGGACAGGCGAATAGTCAGGCAGGCTGGCAAGCAGACTATTATTATTATTAATACTCGTTGGTTAGATTTTGAATTATAAAATTTGAATAACACATTATTGTTGTTGTTTTTGATAATCTTGGTTGGCTTCAACTTCGTCTCTTCTATAAAAGAGAGAGAGAGAGACAAAGTGGTAGGAAAAAGTGAATAGGGAAAAACCGATGTTGGTTGAAAAGTCCCTGATCCATTCATGGATGCACGTTCTTTCATTTATTCAGATTATGGATGATTTTTCTTCACAACCTAAAAACATTTAGAAAGAATCGCTAGTAGGCCTACAGAAGAACAGAGCATAGATGACTAGCTTTTGGGACTGTTGTTTTTAATAATATGGTGACCTAATCAAAGATTAGCTCTACGACCGGTCCAGTTGTTGATCATTCTGCAATCAGTAGATGTGAATTTGATTGACTCATGAATTCTTAACTTTCGTAAGTATTCGCAATGTGTAGTGCTCGGTGGTTGACTTAATGGTAGAATGCGCTCGCCAACCACAATCATCATCACCACCGAACATGTGGTCTGGGAAGTCGCCTTTATCTCGTGGAGCCAGTATTAATTCCAGTGAAGAGAGGGAATTTTGATTGTGAAGAGGCGGCTAGCAACCCCGTCCAGTGAAGATAACACCATTGCCACTGAAACTTCGAAGCTGAAGCTCGGAACGCAAAGGAAGACAAATAATAATAATTTGCTTTATTCCAAAACAGTACATGTGATACAGAATGGAATTCTCAGCATTTTTACTACAGTATTGCATCCAGTTAGTACATTATCAATAAATAAAATTCTACATAGACTAAGGAAATCTCAGTTCATTATGACAACAACATATTGACATGTCGGTAGCAAAGCCAAAGTTGAACAGTGTTTGAAGGTGTTAGAAAAGTAGGTGCTGTCATATTTACTGGCGTAAGCGGAAGAAAGAAACAAAGCAGCACATGACGGAAAATCAAAGAGAGAGAGAGAAAAGGAAAAGAAAGAAAGAAAATCTTGTACCCATAAATGATATGAGTTGGAAAGACGAGGTCCAGTTGTTCTACTGACTATTTAATGAATTATAGGTGTCACGCCTAATGCTTTCTTTATCGCACAGAACACAAGCTAGGTAGGGTATGGTTGAGTTTTTGTACTTGCTGGTGCGAGCATATAGTTTTCTATATAGGCTTCTGGTTTTGCCTGATGAGATGCAAGGGGAGAGTTGTGAGTGAAGAGGGTGTTGTGAGTTCGATAAAATGCATGTGGCCCATTTTTCACATGAGTCCATGTGTCTGTCGACCAGAATATTAACAAGCTAGTTAAGTGGCACGTTGCTTACCCTGCTGACAACCTTTAACATCCTGCTTAATATGTTATAGTCATTCTTCAGTAGCCCGGGAAAAACTAAGGGGGAACAATGGAGAATAATAGGTAGAATGCGAAAGTTAACGAGTTGTAGGAGTAAGGGTTGGGTTATACCAGAATGTCTTAACTTCTTGATGTAGAAGGTAAGACGGAATATTTTCTTAGAAATCACCAAGATATGAGACGATCAGGAGAGATCAGCAGATAGAATGACGCCTAGGTATTTAATTTCCGACTTGGTCTCTATTTCAGTGCCATCTATGTTGCACACCTCGTGAGAGCCAACCAGTTTCTTTAGGTCGGATTTATGACTAAAGGTGAGATTGACTGTTTGGCATTTGCAGGGGTAAGACCATTTTCCTTGGACCACTGGCTGATTTCTGACAGAAAGCTATTAAGTTTAGAGCAGTCGCTTTGACAATTGACAGGCAAAGATACATTCAGCATATTTGACAAAATTAATGTCATTTGAAGATGGTAAGTCATGTAGAAAGAAAGAAAAGAGAAGTTGGGAGAGTACAGCACCTTGGGGGACACCAGCTTCAGTGAGTACAGCAGAGGATGATTTACCTTTATATACGGTGTACTGCATTCTGTTAGAGAAGTAGGAATGCAGCCAGTTAGTGACCCAGGACTCAGTTTTTGTCAAAGAGAGCTTATTTAGCAGGAGACATCTAGGATGATAGCTTATCAATTGATAAGTACAATCTTTTTCGAGGGGATAGAGAAACAGGTCGTGGGGGTGGAACACTCATATACGTTAAACAACCCATTTGTGCAACGCATTTTAGTCACCCTATTCTGTCACAACTTAATGATTCGGTGTGGGTCGAAATAAAAGTTCTCAGAAGTAAACCTGTCCTTATAGGGTGTGTATACCGACCGCCATCATCCAACCGCGAATACGATAACGTACTCAGCAACGTATTTAGTGTTGCATCCAATCTTCCCTTCAGTTATAATATAATTGGAGGTGACTTCAATTTGCCTGATATATCATGGCGTACACTTCGTGGACCCTCGAGGTATGATAATCTTCTTAATTCCATCATTACAGGAGGATGGACGCAACACATAAATGTACCCACTAGGTCCGATAACATCCTTGATCTTATATTCACGATCAACGTAGCACCATCTACAATTCATGTGGGACATGAATTCCCAGATAGTGATCATAAAATAGTTGCATGTTCGTTTAATATTTCTCCAGAAACTATACACAGAAACAAAGTTATTCCGACACCTATAAGACTATACACGCAGGTTGACTGGGACTTGTATCAGGACTTGATTAGATACTCTAATTGGGATTCCTACTTTACCAATGACTCCTTAGAGGAAGTCCTTAAAAACTTCTATGACAATATACAGTCGGTTAATGATGTCATAGCGCCTGTGAAACTGATTAAATTCAAAATTCCTCAAGGTGATTTTATTCCAATATCATTAAGAAGAAGTATGCGGAAGCATTCATTAAGTTACTACAGACATGACGACTTATCGTCGTTAATAGCTATCAAAACAATCCTCATTAGAATCCATGAGTTAAAAAATCTAAGTCTTAGAAATAAAGAGACGCGGGCAATTCAGTCGCCACATAACACTGGAGAAATAGCCAAACTCTTCAAAAGTAGGTTAACTAACTCCAAATCAACATATCCAAAAATAATACACCTAGGTGGCATTACTCACGAAAGTGATGAGGATATATGTGAGGTGTTTAGCACGCACTTTGCCAAATTGTACACTCTAGAAAACGACCAGGCTATAGATTTCCCTCGTAAAACAGAAAAGTGTTTAAGCGATGTAGTCTTTAACGCCCAAGAAATCGATAAAGCTACCACAACTCTTAAGCTTACTAATACTCCCGGCCCAGATGGAATGTCTTCTGTCCTCTTAAAAAAGGGTGGAAATGACATGAATCTACTTCTTCTCAAGATATTTTCAACTTCGATAAGGAGTGGAACATATCCAAATGGCTGGAAGAAATCTTACGTTGTACCCATTCACAAAACCGGGCCTATAGCGGACATAGATAACTACCGCCCCATCAATATTACTTCCGTAGTTTCACGTGTGATGGAAAAGATTATAAAGAAGCAAATTGTTCAGTTTTTGCTCTCGAATGACTTAATATCCGCCTTCCAATACGGTTTCCTAAATAGAAGATCGTGCATTACTTGCCAATTAGATTATTTCGACCGCATTACTGAGTGTGTAGACAAAGGTCGTTCAGCAGCAACATTATTTCTAGACGTTAGGAAAGCTTTTGACAAGGTCCCACATAAGAGACTCATATTGAAACTCCTATCTTATGGAATAAGTGGAAGGCTACTTGAGTGGATAACTTCTTTTCTTACAGGAAGAGAACAGTTAGTTAAAGTCAACCATCACTTATCAACATCCAAACCGATAACCAGCGGCGTGATACAAGGTAGTGTTCTTGGCCCTACCCTATTAATTGTATTCATAAATGATATTGTTTCTATGATCAAGTATGGCAAGCCATACCTCTTTGCAGACGACCTCAAAGTTGTCTATGATTTCGACTATAATGATATGAATATTGTTAGTAAAATCCAAGAAGACCTAAATAGTCTATGTAATTGGAGTGAAAAGTGGCAGTTAATGTTCAATCCAGCTAAATCTGGGATAACATACTTCGGACGTTGGAAACCTAGCATGTGTCTATACATGTACGGTGACCTTGTCTCAAACACGAACACAGTCACAGATCTCGGGGTAACATACTCAGATCTTACCTTTACTGAACATGCAAATAAGGTGGTATCTGATTGTAAACGTCTAACCGGCTTTGTGCTACGCAACTTTTACACCCCAGAAGCCAGATTAGCCGTATATAAGATATGCATTCGCCCCAAACTTGAATACTGTGGCCACTTATACAGTAGCTTTAAATCAGCAGACAGAAAAAAAGTTGAAAGTGTCCAAAGATTCCTCACGAAACGCATATTAGGTTATGATCAGCAAATAGAATACCTTGACAGATGTATTCGACTGGACTTAGAACCCTTATGGTTAAGGAGAGTGAAGTGCAATTTATTTCTCTTATTCAAAGTTATAAGAAAGCACTGTAACAGTAACTCGTCTATAACCTGGGCTAATCCTAAATCGTATGGACTACGCAACCATAACTGCCTTCTCAAGGTTAACACCCATAAGCTCACCACTAGAGCTAACTTCTTCACCATTAAATATTGCAAACTTTGGAACCAACTAACCCCTGAGATTAGATCCTGTGAAAGGCCTGACAGTTTCAAAAGGAGCCTAGAAAAACATATTAACATGTCCACCCTAGCCCTTCTAAATGATCTCAACTGCTGGTAGAGTGGTGAAACCATGACACTTCAATATTTAACTACAGACAGTACACTAGTTCCTAGACTAACCTAATAATACTTAGTAATTATGCATGTTCAATACTTGAAATTAAATTATCATTAAAATACTTAAAATGATTACTTACGCAGCAAATGTTCTCTTAGTTTATCACTCTTATTTCCCTTATAACATTCAGTTTTTGAGCCTAATGTATTCTTTGATAATACGAATTATAACACTGATTACACTCTTATTATACATAGATTGATTTACTTTACGGCTACCTGTAAGACTCACTAACTTTCTGTAGTATTGTTAACCAAATGCTGAAATTTTGTTGGTTCTGCTAATATCTTTTTATAATATATGTAGACAGGTTACTTTGCAATGTCAAATGTTTACTATATATAAAACTGTCATGATAATTTAGTACACTTGGTCCTGCCAACCGACCTTACCTTCAGTTCATACTACCTATATTGAACCCTAACTATATTGTTCCT